CCCCCCCGTACAGTAGAAGCATTTGCTTATCTATCTTAGCAGTGTAGATTTAGCACTGCTCCCTAGTAATGTACAGACTATAATGACAGCTCTCCTGCTGCCTGCCCTTGATACATACTCCATGCTCAATGACACATGTTGTCACAGTTGACACTGCCAGCCACTACAGAAACAGTTAGCCCGGCTGCCAGATATCGGCCAGTGCCCAGGGTAGAGCCCCATCATGGCATGACCCGGGTCATTGAGATGAAATTGTGAGTACAAAATAAATTACTTAGTACCGACCATCCAAAAAAATGATAAAATGTGTAAGAGTGGAGGAGTGGATGTTGTCACCCTGTAGCGCACCACCCGAAGGAGCCGCTGGAATGACGGGCCGTCCTTAGCCTGTCTAGGGAATTTAGCAGCCGGCTGCTCCAATAGCATCTACAACCCTTCTCTGGTGGCCGATAAGACTGAGATCCAGACTGTAGTTATAACGCTGATGGAACTTTACTGCAGAACTTCATAATTGAGAGGGAGGGCACAGGGCTTAGGACATCCATGAGATAAATAGCCAGACTCCCAACTCACCAGTCCCTTTCAGTATTCCACAGTGCAGGATCTATAGGAGCACACGCTGACACTGGGTATCTGAACAACAACTGAAGAGGGATAGGCATGAGATCTTCAGTAGGAGAGACACCAGACTTCCTGTTCCTGAGGTCCATTCCAGTACCAGGCACCTCCAGTAGCCATCCAACGTCTCTGGTTCTCCTCCCCAATCAGTATTAGGACTCCTCCCCAGATAGCAGGGATAACTTGCTACAAACTTGTGGCAGGGTTACATTGTAATTCTTGTTAACTTGCTGCACACATTCCTGGCAAGTTGTAGACTTGCAGAGCACTCGCAGCACAAGTTCTAGGTGACACTTTTTGAATTTGTAGCAAATTTGCTTGGCAAGTCTACAGCAAGAGTCCTGCAGGTCTTAGCAAGAGCTCTGCAACCTCGCTGGTCTGGAGACTTGCAATGCGGACTTGCTGTAATTGTGCAACAAAATTGTGAAGCTCGGCAAGTCTGCAATAGTTTAGCAAGTCATTTTCAAACTTGCAGCTCAATTGCTTGCTGTCTGGGTCCCCGCGTGAGGCCTAGGCAACATTTCCCACACTTGAGCATTCCCATGCGTGGGGTAAGTCTGGAACTACTAGAACTAGACTGAGCTCATGACAATTCCCCTGAGTATATATCCACCACTCCCAGCATGCACAACATCAGGATTGGCTGAGATGAAGCTCCGGCAGTGAGTGAAAAGCCGAATGCCGCCGACCGGCATTCGGCTCGACTATTCTGCTCGGTACCTCCGTGGTACCGAGCAAAATAGAAAATAGTAAAAAATGTTGAAAAAAATAAAATAAATAATAAATGTAAAAAATAAAGATTTAAAAAAAAAACCACAATTGGGCGCAGCTAGCAGTGACAGCTAGCTCCGCCCAACTCTTTCCTATTGGCCAGCACCTGCTAGAGTTTTCTAGCAGTTCCCGAAGGATCACCCGAAGCTTCGGCTGATCCTTCGGCTAGCTTTGTGAATAGACCCCATATTCTTTTTTTGCAGAAGTAGAGCTCTGGAAGGTTCCAAAACTTTGACCTTCCAGGAGTCCAGGAGAGGAGGCGCTACAACTGTGCAAGACTGAAGACATGGCTGTGGTTCAGATTTAAGATCAGGAATGTGTTGCACTTCCTGTCCAACATCTCGAAAGATGAAGACATAGAAAAGATTTTAAACCGCAGAATTGAGGAAGTTATTCACAAGGCCGTACAACTCACTTTAACATAAAGCACAAGATATACAACCTCTGCATTGCCATATGTATTATACTAAGGTGCTGTTGGTTCAAATGGCAGTTAAGTTACCAAACTCCGGACTGGATATAAAATACACAAACACAGCTACGTCAATCAATAGCTTTTTATTTTATTTATTATTTATTAATTTTTTAATTGCAAGCTGTGTACCTACTTAAATTTGGCCTGGTGTCAGCCTCTTGTACAGCAGAGTTCAGAGCGGAGACGGGAGAAGCAGCACAAGATGCCAGTAACTGGTGCTGCAGTGCTTATGTACTAACAACCAACATTCTCATAGGAGGAGAGAGCAACATGACAAAGAGATGAGCTTATCAGTCTGATGTTTCCTATACACTGAGTGGCCAGATTATTATGGCCACCTGACGTATGTAGGCAAATTAGCTATAATTTGGCGCTGAAGTTGCTAGAGGGCCAGACCATTATAAATAGGGGAGCAGGTTACTCAGGGCGCATGAGACATCATTCTCACACATGGATTGGCCACTACAGAGTCCAGACCTTAACCCCACTGAGAATCTTTGGGATGTGCTGGAGAAGACTTTACACAGAGGTCCGACTCCCATCATCACTACAAAATCTTGCTGAAAAATGAATGCAACTCTGACCGGAAATAAATGTTGTGACATTTTATAAGGTTATCAAAACTAGGGATTCACTGATACTAGTATCGGTATTGGTGCCGATACAGAGTATTTGGACAAGTACTCGTATTCGCCTAAATGCACCGGATACTTATCCCGATACGGGACCTTACAGTATCAGGAAGCCGAGCGTCGAGTCATTATACACCGCCCAGCTTCCTTATTGGCCAAGAAGCCAGCTCCATGCTCCATCGGCACCAAGGAGCATGGAGCCGGCTTCCCGGTCAATCTGGGCGGCGTGTAATGACTTGCCCCCCGGCTTTCTAAATTGGTTGGGAAGCTGTCCAATCAGGAGGCCGGACGGCGAGTCATTACCCGCCCCCCCAGTTTCCTGATTGACCGGGAAGCCGGCTCCGTGCTTCCTTGTCACCTGTATTGTGAATAGCCCGTACAGCAGCCCTTTGGTTCGACTGAACCAAAGGGCTCCGGCGATTGAAGAGAGCAGAAGGATCAGCCGAAGCTATGACTGGATCCTACGGCTCCTTTGTGAATAACCCCTTATAGTGTTTGCTGATTGTAACTGGGTTATGTTGACCTGGTTCTCTTACCTTTTGTATGACTGTTTTGTACAAAATTAAAAGAGAACTATGAGGTGGGTGATTTTCACTCAGCCTCATAGTTCGAGCCGATAAGTTCGAGCCGAACAATAAAACTGTCACAGGTTGGCTCAATAGATCGGGACAATCCGTCGCTCGCTCACTTCTCGATCTATCCCTGCAGAGAGTGGTGACTGTCACTCACGGCTCCCTGCAGGGATTCCCCCCCTCCCCGCTCAGATCCTCCAGCGCTGAGTGGAGGAAGGAACAGGGGTGCAGCTGGCTCTGCCTCTAGATAAATCACGCAGCTGGGTGGATCTCGACAGAAATGTTGGGATCCGTCCCGGCTGCGACGGTCTCAATATACCGCGAACTGTAGCTCACTATATACTGAGCTTTAGGTCACGGGAGGACGCTAGTTTATGTCCTCCTGTGACCCTGCGGAGAACTATGGGGAAAACACTGACCCAATAGTTCTCCTTTAATAATAATACCAATAAAAAGCATCTTAAAAAAAAAAGACGTTCTAAGATGTAAGCCAACCATGCAACTTGTATTGTGAGAACGAGCAGTCAGTGATGGCGGCTTCTATACTCCTTTAGCACAGGTTTCCTCAAAATATTTGACCCTTGGGTAACACCGTCATTTGTAACTGACTTTTGGAACTCAAACAGATTGAAATCTTGCAAGACCGTCTTCCTTTTTTCATTCTCTAAAAACCCCCCATTTCCTGACGACAGTTGTGACACAATGGGGCATTAAGCAATCTGAATGTGAGGACGTGTGCTATGGCTGAGGCTCCCAATAAGCTTTTCGGCTTTAGAACCATTCCTTCGTCTGTTCTTCTCAAACCGATTCACCATCATGTCCTATCCCCTGACTCTGATCATGCTGCTTCTATGGGGTATGTACTATATGGAAATGTCTGTGGTTGTTGTTAGGGATGCACCGATACTAAGTACAGTACTCGGTACAAGTACAAGTACAGATACTTTTCCAGCTCCAAGACCAGACTAGAGAAACATTCGAAAGTTAGGAGGCCGCTGTCATTTGTAAGGAGCACACGGAGCTCCTGGGATTTGTACATCTCTGTTCTAATGTATGATTTTGTTTTTATAATATATATAAGGGATGCACAGATACCAGTTTTGCGAGTACAAGTACTGATACTCGCCGAAGTCCTCACAGATACAAGTACTGATACATTTTTGTTTAGTGTCATGTGACAGTTTTTCTAAAACAATACAGACTAATGATTTCAGGACAGTGGTGGAGCGCCAGAGCCCGGTCCCAGCTGCAACCGCTGCAACCCTGGTAGTTCTCATGAGAATGCAAAGTATCGGCACTGGTACTCAAAAAGTATCGGTGCACCCCTAGTTGTTGTTATTATCATGCTTAAAGTGTATCTCAACCAAAGAACAAAAATATGATATATTGCAGCTTACCAGCCCTTAGATGTGGCTGCATTTATTTTCTTTTTTCAGATTAGGAACATTTCAGCAAGTACAGAACACACTTGTTGAAACTGCCGATAGATGTGCGTCCTTGTAACTTTCTATGAATTGAACCGGTATTGTAAACCATGTTATCAGCCTGCCCAGCTATTTTCCGTGAACTACAGAATACTCCCCCCCATGTTATTACAATGAAAGGGGGTGTTCTGCAGTCCTGTCCTAGGGTGACAACACTGCTCCTGCATAGATACAGTGTAACAAGTGAGTGTTGTCATCTTAGGATAGGAAGTGTGTTACTGCCAGGCTCACCAGGGAAAACAAAAGGGTAAAAGTCTGGAAAAGGAAAACATATGCAGGCACCACATTTAGGACCAGAAAGCCGCAATCTATAAATTGATAGGTTTTTGGTTTATTGTACTTCAATCCACTTCTAAATTAAATTCTTACCCTCTATAGATTATAGAGGCTAACGAGAACCTCTACTGCTTGAAATGTCACTTCCCTGGTTGCCAAGTTCTGGCCTCCGGAACATGTTGGCTATCTTCTAATATCTACCCTCCTCATGTATCACTGGCCCCTCCCTTTTAGATTGTAAGCCCTCAGGGGCAGGGCCCTCCTTACCATCTTGTCTTGAATTGTATTGTGATTGTAATGTCTTCTTTATATTGTAAAGCGCTGCGCAAACTGTTGGCGCTATATAAATACTATGTAATAATAATAATAATAATATCTACATGATCTCACATTGGAACAAATTTGAAACTAAACAATTAATTCATTGTGTGGCACTTCAATTTTAGATCCACTTAATGATAAAATCATGGAGGCTGACACTGCCAAGCTCTCCTTTTTGAAATGTTAGCTCCCTGGTTGTCATGATGATGCATTGGCTTCAATGCTGTCTGAGTCCCTGACCCAGAACAAGTATGGAGATCATTCTCAGACTTTTTGACGCTCATTTACACCATGCTTGTTCTAGGTCTGTGGTTCAATAGTAGTTGTAAGTCAGATGCAGACGGGCAACTTGCATTTTTCTTCAGGAGGCCTGCAATATACTGGCTTCAAATGGCAGAGTTAGTTAAATCCAAACTCCACTCAGCTATAGATAAAATGTCATAAAGGCACCCCTCATATTGTTGCTTTATTAGTCTTAAATGGGGGTGTGCTGTACATGTGGTGAATGGGTGTCAGAGCACAATGAAAACCAGAGAAGCAAAGGGTGCTAGTTAATATATTTATTAAGAACAGTGTCCACAGGAGCAAGCAGAATCATAAACCGGAACAAGCCAGAGTCAGGAGCCGGAGTGGGTAGTCGTCCAAGTCAGGTCAGGAACACGGAGATCAGTGTAGTCATGAACAAGCCTTGAGCAGGAGCCAGAGGAGAACGTCAGCCAGGATCAGGTCATATACAGAATCAGGATACTCAGAGCAGCAGGAATGCACTAGCAGGAAGACCACGCAAGGGCAAGGTCAGACTGGACTGAGTGGTTTATATATAGTGAGTGGGGTGACATCATCACTCAGAGACAGGAAACTCCCATCTGGCTCTCTCAGATGATGCTCTCCTGGCTGGCCATAAGAGGGAGGCTGGGAGTAGTGAGCAATGTTCCAGAGTCTGGCAAGGAAGGAAACACCGGTGAGTAAAATGGCAGCCAAGCCAGAATGCTGCAAACCAGTAAAGTCAGGGTGGAGCCCTGACAATGGGGATAAATAGAATTGACCATTCTAATTTTACTGAAATATTGACAAAATTCAGAAGATTAAGGCAAAATGTCACCATTTCAGCAGAATGCATCAAAGTCCATTTGGAAGGTGAAATTATGGTGGTTTTAGGTTTTTTTTGAGGGTGCAATTGGTTTTAAATGTTTTTTTTTTATAACAACCCTCTAATATACTTACTGGTTTCACAGGTGAGCCATCTGGGACTATGGTAAACTATTGCGTAGACCAGCCAAGGGAAATAGAGGCCTTTGTGGGGGAGACCTTGACACTGCCCTGCAAATTTGTGTATCCAGAAAAAAAGGAAGTGGTTTCAGAAGTGGTAATTATATGGAAAGCCCGGGATGTTTTGTTCTGTGGAACAACGGATCATGAAATCTACAACTCCATGACAAACGTCTCCTTTTCTAAGTATGGCGGGAGATTGCTGATGCAGGAGGACCCAATGGCTCAGAATTTGTCGCTAATATTGAACAACGTGACATCCAAAGACAGGAACAGGTATTGCTGTCGTGTGATTATCTCAATCAAAAACAAAGAGAATGTGGGGTACCAAAGCCCTGAAGGGACCAGCCTTACTTTAAGAGGTAAATTGAATCACTAATGTTCAGATGTAATGCA